GAAAAAGAATTACCAGGCATACTAAAAGACAAAAATAACAGTTTGAAGGAACAGAACAAATATTGGAAATAGATCTGGATATGTCAGGGAGGAGGGGACTGTCAGACTGTGAACTTAAAACAGCTTAAATACAACTGTGATTAAATAGGAATATTTCTAATAGAAAATATAGATGGCATGGGAGAACAAGCAGGTAACATGAGCATAGAATTAGAAATTCGAAGAACAAAAGAACTACCAATATAAATGAAGAATATTTTTGATGGGCTCATTAATATCCTATAAACAGTTGAGAAAAGAATATCTGAACTTGCAGAAACTTCCAAACCCCAAAATAAAATAGAACAAAAACCAGAAAAAAATGGAACAGAAGACAAACTACAAAGGTATGCAGTATGTGTCACGTCCATATCAGAAAGAGAAGAAAGAGAATGGAACTGAAGTAATATTTGAAGCAATGATGTCTAAGAATGACCCCAAATGAACATTAGACACTGAACCACAGAACCAGAAAGCTCACAGAACACCTAGCAGGATAAACAAGGGGAAAAAATATCTATTGCTAGGTAAATCAGATCCAAATGCTAGAAAATCAAAGAAAAAAGAAAAGTACCAAAAGAAGTCAGTACATACAGAGGAGCAAATTCATTATGACTGAATTTTGGTGAAAGTTCATGGTCATTCTGATAAGGTTTGGTGGAAATGAGAAATCTGTTAATAGAAGCTAGAAGAGAGGTGATCTTTGTTATCTGTGTCTTTGTGACAAGGGGGGTGGGGAGGGTGGGGGGGTGACGAATAACTTGTGTTCGTTGATACAGCAGGAGTGGAAGCCATTTATTGTAGGACAACAGAGGTATTTATACATTTTGCACAGCTTATCTTAATTAGCATAAACTAGATACATCAGTCAACCAATAAGGAATCTCCACACCTAATGGCTTGCTTTTGTTACTTCTCAAACCACTCCCTCTGGCATTTTGCCAGGCACCATCCAGACTTGTTTACGAACTCTTAACATTTCTCTGGTAAAATGCCAGGTGTTATTTTGACTTGTTTACAGACCTTAACATCAATTAAATGCAATTCCATTTGAAATTAAACAGTAATTTTTTAAAGACACTGATGATCTGAATTCTATAATTAATATGGAAACAAAAAATGCTGAATCTTTAATATATATATATATATATATATATTTACTTCCAAATTGCACACTATTTGATTTCAAGATTTATTACTGCTTTCAAGTGGTTAAAAACAAAGAGACCCTGGCTCAGGATATTTTACATTGCAATGATAGAATAAAGATGCAGAACTAAAACTTCACATCTGTGCTGATGGAAAAGGGACTCAAGGAATCCAATGAGGAGAGGATCATCTTTTCAACAAATGGAGGTGAACAAAGAGACAAGAAGAGAAGAACAAATACCATGTACAAAAAAATTTGAAATGATCACAGACCTGAATATAAAAGATAAAATCATTAAGCTTGTAAAAACGTGCTAGCCAACAAAAGTATAATTTGAACCACAAATGTGAACCATAGATACAATCTTAAGTTTCCTAGTACATTTTAAAAATAAAAAGTAAGGGATAAAATTAGTATTTTATTAATCATAGTACCTTCAAAATATAATTTCTGCATGAAACCAATAAAAAAGAGTGTTGGCAAGATATTATGCATTGATCTCATACTTACCCTTTTTCATTATTACTGTTTGGAGAATCTGAGGGTTACAAAGACCTCTATTTTAGATCCTGCCAGGTGGTATCTGTCCTCCAGCTCCAAGGGCTCTGGCATTTGCTGAATACATCAGATTCACTGATGCCTCAAACTCTTCAGGCAAGAGAAGAGCACAGAGATGGAGTTGGTGTGGGACCCCACCTCAGCTTGCTCCCTCCACTCCAAACCTTCCGCCAAATACCAGGAACTTCAGTCTCCCCAAACATCAGGATGTCAGAAAGCCTGTGGCTGTAAATCCTAACTTTACAGTGATCTCACTAGACCCTGTCAGGAGTTAGCCCCGTAGAGCTTTCCTTCTGGACTGATTTCTTAAGTGGCTCCCTTTGTTTTCCCCTTTTTATTCTCAGGGTTAGTACACCTGGGTTGTTTGTTGTTGTTGTTGTTTGTTTTGTTTATCTGTTTTTGTTGTTTTACCTATGAGTTACTCATTTATTTATTGGGTTTTTGTTTTTGTTGCCAGGGATTAAACCCAGGGGCACTTAACCATTGGACCACATCCTCAGCCCGTTTTATATTTTCTATCCTCCTGTCCCTGCCTCCCGGAGTTGCTGGGATTACATGCATGTACCACCACGCTAGCTGTTCACTAGTAATAAACGCAATTTAAAGAATACCATATAGCCCTACTACCTTATTGCTTTGCATTCCACTGCTCATTATTAATTACCACTTTCCACTAAGATTTGAAAATGTGGCCCACTAAAGAGGCTTTTTAATCCTGGGAGCAGCAGCAAGAATAAGTCTCAGGGACTCAGTGGTACAAGGCTACTTCCAGGAAATTGAGGGCATGCATTATGTTTGCAAGGTTCTTCCACGACCTGGGAACTTGTCTTTGTAGTATGGAGACCTGGATGCTCCCTGGGACAAGAGTCCACTATTGATCAACTGTGAGGAAACATATTTCATCTTTTTTTTTTTTTTTTTTTTGAGTAACAGTTGGAAATCCCAAACCTGGCTGATATGGGATGAAAGTGTCAACTTCTGGGCAGAGCCTTGCCCAGTAGCAAGCCTAGGGAGACCCAGGACTCCCAAGTGAGCACAGAAAATGGGAATTCAAGTCTTCTGTACTCAGACACATGGCCCCCCGGGTCGCCACTACGTTGCCCTCTGAGGCTGAGGGATCCAAGTTGTGGAAAGATCAGGGTAGAGATGGCTGATCTAGAGAGGGTGCATTGATGGGGGCGGGGGGGGGGAGGAGATGAAGATTCTTCTGAGTTATCTTTAAGGACACAGGAGAAGAGGACACTGCAAAGAATTATGACGACTTCTCAGATCTTCTGTCCAAAAGCCCTTTCTCCTGCTTCTGGATCATAACCTGGAAAACTGAAAGAAGACTGAGTGTGTGTGTGTGTGTGTGTGTGTGTGTTTTCTTCCTACAAATTGTTCCTTTTCCTTTCCCAACTATTCCTTTTTAAATATAGACTTTAGCAAGGCATGGTGCTGCATGCCTGTAATCACAGCTACTCTGGAGGCTGAAGTGGGAGGATTCCAAGTTTGAGCCCATCCTGGGAAAGTTAGCAAGACTCTGTATCAAAATAAAAGGAAAAGGACTGGGGTTATAAATCAGTGGTAGGGTGCCCCTGGGTGCAATACATTGTACCACCAAAATAAATAAATATACTTTATTCTTCAATAATATCTTTAGGTTTAGAAAAAGGTAAAGGTAACATAGAGTGCCTAGATTACACACTGCTTCCCCAACTGTTAACATCTTACTTATGATCATGTATATATATCACACTATTAAAGCAATATTGATAAATTATTACTCAGCAGCATGTTTTATTTGGATTTCATTAGCTTTATTTTTTAGTTATAGTTGGATATAATATCTTTCTTTCTTTCTTTTTATGTGGTGCTGGGTAGCAAACCCAGGGCCTTACATGAGTGCTCTACCGCTGAGCCACAACTCTAGGCCCTCATTAGTTTTTTTTTTAATGACCCTTTTCTGTTACTGGATGTCATCCAGGATACTGCACTGCATTTAGTTTCAATCATGTCTCCTTAAGACTCCTCTGGCATGACACTTACTCAGATTTTATTTTCTTTGAATGTCCTTCATATTTTTTAGGAGTGCTGCTCAGGAATATTGCAGAATGATGCTTGATTTAACTTTGGTTGGCTGGGGCTGTGGGTTTGGGGAGACCACAGAGATGAAATGCCACTCAACACAGCATATGAACTGTAAATGCTGAGAAAATTTCTCGAGATTTTTAAAATCGTTCCTTACTCTCAATTATTCTGGAATTCATATTGTTCAGTTGTTGAAAATCTTTTATTGGTAGTCTGTGCTCTTATAGTTCTTCTGTCTTCCTTACAATTACTTTTACAATTATAGTACTTCTTTTCTTTTTTAAAGAGAGAGATTCTTTTTTAAAGAGAGAGAGAGAGAGAGAGAGAGAGAGAGAGAGAGAGAGAGAGAGAACAGTATGTGACTACATGCAAGACACATCCACACACTTAAATGCAACAGAGTATAAACTATTCAATGATAATGCTTTAGGGTCCATATGGCAAAAAATCTTTAAGAAGCTAATACTTGTGTCATTTGAAGTGTAGTATCAAAAATGAATAGCCACAGTTATCGAAAACATTAATAAAAACATTCCTTCTACATATTTCTGTGAGTTACATTTTTTGTTTCAACCAAAATCACAGATTAAATGCATTCTCTAAAGACAAATTAAAAAAAAAACTTTTAAACTTGTAAAAAGTAAAATGATCTAGTCTTTTGATTAAATCTTTTGATTTTTGGAAAGTTATTTCTCTTTGAAAGAATTGTTTCTGTTAACATGAAATTAGTTATTAATACTCAGAAGGAATAAAATATCTTTAAAATGGAATTAATTTCTAACAAGGCAAATGTTGACATAATCCACAGAAACATGATTACTTCTGGAGTGTACAGCTACTTTTTACAACATGTAAATTCTTGAAGCCAAAACGTTTGAGAACTGCTGATTTACATCCCAAGACAGGTATTAAGGGATGGTGTGATTAAAAAAAAAAAAAAAAGTACAAAGGAGTGTTCAGGGCAAAGTACCAGCCATGGCCATGAGTCTAGAAATGCATCTGGGGTGTGGACACACTGGGGATTCACTTCTCCCTCTTGGAACTTGGGTCAGGTAGTTCTGCCTGGATGCTCCTGACCCCAGTTCTTACTCCCATTGCATGTCCTGCTTCTAGAGAAGCCAATCAGTATCACCGCGGTTCGGGTTTTAATGTCCCCTCCCACCAACCCTCGGGGACTCAGAATCTCCACAGGTGTAGGATGAGGGTGACGGAGCCCCAAACGCTGCTCCTGCTGCTCTTTGGAGCCCTGGCCCTGACAGAGACTTCAGCGGGTGAGTGTGGCGTAGGAAGGGAAACTGCCTCTGCCCCGAGGAGCAAGGGGACTGTCCCTGAGCGCGCAGGACCTGGGGAAGCCGGCCCAGGACTCTCCCCAGGTGGGGCGGCTCTTCCAGACCCTCCACTCCTGCCCTCCCAAGTCCCACCGCCCCCTTTGCGTATCTCATCCCCGCTCCTCTCCTCCTGGAGTCCTCAACTTGGGACCTGGGTCCGCCTCCTGGAGGAGAGTCGCAGGGGTCTCAGCCGCTCCCGCCCCCCAGGCTCCCACTCCATGAGGTATTTTGAAACCTCCGTGTCCCGGCCGGACCGCGGGGAGCCCCGGTACTTGGAGGTGGGCTACGTTGACGACTCGCAGTTCGTGCGCTTCGACAGCGACGCCGCGACCCCGAGGATGGGGCCGCGGGCGCCTTGGATAAAACAGGAGGGGCCATGAGTATTGGGAGGAGGAAACCCAGAGAGCCCAGAGCTACGCGCAGAGCTACCAAGTGAACCTGATCACCCTGCTAGCCTACTACAACCAGAGCAAGGGTGGTGAGTGACCCCAGGCCCGCGTAGGAGGTCGCTATCCCTGAGGTCCCTCACGAAGAACCCGAGCCTTCAGGGAGTCCCAAGCCTATAATCACCCCAAGGCTGAGGGACCCGCAGAGACCTTCGACCCAGAAAACGTCCCCGGGACTGTAACCTGGTTTTTACCGGTTTAGGGGAAACAACTCGCAGGGTGGGCGGGGCTGGGACGCTGCTGACCACAGGGCCTGGACAGGCTCTCACACCATCCAGAGGATGTATGGCTGTGACATGGGGACAGACGGGCTCCTCCTCCGCGGGTTCAGCCAGATAGCCTATGATGGCTCTGATTACATCGCCCTGAATGAGGACTTGCGCTCCTGGACCGCAGCGGACATGGCGGCTCAGATCACCAAGAGGAAGTGGGAGGCCGCCGGTTTTGCGGAGAGTTTCAGGGCCTACCTGGAGGGCACCTGTGTGGAGTGGCTCGCCAGATACCTGGAGAATGGGAAGGAGACGCTGCAGCGTGCAGGTATGAGGGGCTTCAGGACACCTGCCTGATCCCCTGTAGCTTCCTCAAAGGAGGGGAGGAGAGCTGTGTCCACACTAGGACCCCTCCTGCTCCTTGTCCAGGGGGGAGTGAGTGGGCCTGGATCCCCAGGTGCTGCACTAGAGAGGAACTGAGGCCGCTGTCTCTCAGGACAGGTATGGATCCAGTCTCTCCCTGGCTGGTAGGAAAGACAATAACTGACCACAGGGCCTTGGCAGCAGCCTTGACATCACCAGGGGACTTTCTATTAGGTTTTTGTCTCAACTCAGCCTAGTGTCTTTGGAGGTCTCCAGCTTTTCCACATCTCTCAGGCGCCACTCAGACCAAAACCTAAAGTGCTGCTCAGACACCTTTTACACTGGGTTTTCTCAGTCCATTCTAGAACTTTCTGAGGTATAGGAGATTATGCCAGAAGCCTGAGTCCAGCCTTCTGTTTTGTGCTCCCTCCACCAATCCAATCCTGTTGTGCATTCTCTGGATGGACATGTGAATGCTGCTTCAGTGGCCCATGAGAGGTAATGCAAAAATGTCTGAATTTCTATGTTCTCCCTCTCAGACCCCCCAAAGACACATGTAACCCACCACCCTATCCCTGAAGGAGATGTCACTTTGAGGTGCTGGGCCCTGGGATTCTACCCTAAGGAGATCACCCTGAACTGGCAACGAGATGGGGAGGACCAGACACAGGACATGGAGCTTGTGGAGACCAGGCCTTCAGGGGATGGAAACTTCCAGAAATGGGCAGCTGTGGTGGTGCCTGCTGGAGAGGAGCAGAGATACACCTGCCATGTGCACCATGAGGGGCTGCCTGAGCCCCTCACCCTGAGATGGGGTAAGGAAGGGATGAGGGCCCAGAGCCTGTTGTCAGGAAAGCAGGAGACTTTCTGGATACTCTCAGCAGGGTATGGATTGAAAGCCTGGGGATCAGGGCCCCTCACCTGACTTCCCTTCTCCTCCCAGAGCCACCCTCTCAGCCCACCATCCCCATCATGGGAATTGTTGCTGGTGTGGTTCTCCTTGGAGCTGTTCTTACTGGAGCTCTGGTTGCTTTTGTCTTGTGGAAGAAGAAGAACACAGGTAGGAAAAGTGCAGGGTCTGAATTTTTGTCCCACTGGTGGTTTCAAGTACCTGTGGAAGTGTGCCCTGCCTTGTTAATGGGAAGTGATATCTACACAAACATGTTTACCCAGCCTGGACAATGTTTGCTCTTTGTAAAGCACATAGAAACTACAGGACAATTTTATCCTTCTGATGTTTGTGGTGATTGGGACCTGATTCCCACCATTTTGAGGCCAGAGGGGAATTTCCCTGCTGAAGATCGACCTCCAGGAGAGAAATTGGCTCTACCCCTATCCATGTCCTTTCTTTTTGTCTCCTGATCCTTCCCGGCATCACAGTTCTGGAAACTTCCACAAAGTCCAGAACTAGGGGGTTCCTCTGAGACTTGCTTCCAATCTGCTCTCTCACAGGGTGCTTTCATTACACAGGTGTAAAAAAAGGGAAGTATGCACCTACTGCCTGTAAGTATGAAGAACAGTGATCCCTGAAACCCTTGGAATAGTGTAGTGAGGAGCAATGGGAGAGCTGATCCATCCCATAATTCCTCCATTATCCACATCTCCTGTGGACTCTAAGTTCTGCTTTTGTTCTGCCCAGATAATGACAGTGCCCAGGGCTCTGATGTGTCTCTCAATGCTTGAAAAGGTGAGATCCTGGAGGGCCTGAAGAAGGAGAGGGTTTGGGGCATGGGGAGACTCCTGGGTTACAAGGACTGTCTGCATTTAGAAATTTTGAGTGTGGGATAGATTGTTCAGAGTGTCTGCATTACAATAACTCATCTGAAATTTGTTCATAATACTTTGTTTTACAGTGTGAGACAGCTGTCTTCTATGGGACTGAGCAATACAGGTTTTGTTTTGTTTTCTTCCAGTTCCTTACTGGGAATTCAAGGAGTCTTGACTTCTCTGTGTGCAACTGGCATCTAACTATGTCTAATGTCTGAGCTCCTATCAGCATAATGTGAGGAAATGGACAGAAGAGCCCATCCTGGAGCACTGAGACCCCTCCCTACACTTTTCTGTTCTCTTCTTCATTCAGCTTTCCTGTGTAGCAGATGTGGGGCTTGGATGTGTCCATTTTTGATTTAGCTTTATGTTGCCCTGAACTGTAGTCTGTTCCTTCTCTATTGAAAAATAGAATGTGGATATTGATTTGTATTTTAAATTTGTGACATAGTCAATTGGTTAGTTAAATTAAGGGAAAATTCCTAAAGTTTATAAGAGAAAATAAAACCTGAGTCAGGCATGGTTGTGTATGCCTGTAATCCCAGTGGCTCAGGAGGCTGAGGCAGAAGGATAGCAAGTTCAAAGCCAGCTTCAGCAACTTAGTGAACTCCTAAGCAACTCACCAAATCCCCATCTCTAAGCAAAATATATAAAGGACTAGGGATGAGCTCAATGGTTCAGTGCCTCTGAGTTCAATTTCCAGTACCAGAATGTAAATAAATAAATATAATAAACTGGAAACATTCAAGAGTACATGTGTTTGTTGTGCTGACTCTGCTGTGGGTGGAGATGGGGGAAGAATGAAAGGAGCTGAGGGTGGAAAAGTTGCCACCAAGTCTTGACTCAGTCCATCAAGGGCTTTGATGTGGTCCCTTCACAGCTTGATCATCTCTCCTGCTCCTTAGTCCTTATCCCTTCACTTGAACCTTACCACACCAGGACCTGTGATGACAGGGACTCAAGCATCACCAGGGCTTGTCCTGTCTCCAGGACCATGGGCAGGGAGATCATCACTTGAGTGGCTTAGCATAGGCTGAGACCCAAGCCTGACCATATTTTTGTGTTTCTTAATTTCTACAGAGAATTTTGTTTTTGTTAGTAATTTCTTCTATGGGTGTCTCTAGTCTTTGACCACAATAGGAATCTTTTTTCCTGTAGTTGTCCCACAAAACCCATGGTGGTTCCTGGATTATATTTTCCATAATTTTTTTCTAATATTTTTAAAGGAATCAGATTATGGGAATATTAGAGAGGAAGGATCTCATGATTTCTCATCTTAGACAAATTCCTCTTGGGGTTCTACCTTCTCTACTCAGCACTTTCACTGCCCTGAGCTCTACTAATCCTGGCACTTGCTCCATTACAGATTCCTGGGTTGATAAAACAGAGATTAATAGATGTTTAATTGGAAAACATGACCCATTAGTCAAGGTTCATCTTTTCTGAAGATCAGAATGTACTTAGCTGCTGTGGGGTACTTAAGAGGGCTGTTGTGAAAGGGAAGAAAGGCAGCATGTGTGAGAAATGGCTCTGACCTAAGTGTGAAGCTCTTTTGCTGCAGATGGCACAGCAGCATTTGGTCTGAGACTCTATAAATAATGAGTGTCTCTGAAGAAGGAGGGGATGACACTGATCATTCATTCAGCTTTCATTTGTTGAGTACTGAATGTAGACACAATTTGCATCTTGGATACATCAGAGAACTGAAAACTGAAGCCAAAAATTCTAAACTTATGGACTCTGTGTCAGAAAAAAAGATGAAGAGGATATACCCTAGGCACAGTAAATAAGGACAGTGTTCATTTTAGGTGATAGTGTTGCATGGAAGGTGTCAGAGTGTGTGTGGGGGGATTGAAAAGATAAGACTGCTGTTTTACTAGGGTGCTCAGCATGGGGCTTATTACCAAGGAGACCTTTGAGGCTATATTGGAAAGACTTGATGTTTGGAGGAAGATATTTCTAGGCATAAAAAAGATCTAGTGCAAATGCACAAGGGTAGGATCCTGTGTTTGTGTTCTTGGAAAAGCGAGGGTCTAGGATGTCCTGAGCAGTGTCACTGAGAGGAGCTCAGATGCCTGGCCACTCACTGAAGATCTGGAATGATGGAAGAAATCTTACTTTGAGTGAGGCAGTTTTGAGCAAAAATAGACAAGCTGAAACTTTTCAAATGATCTTTCTGCTGAGCTGAGAACAAAGGATTAGCAAGATAGCAGGTAACCGTAGGTAACTAGTCAGTCCTATGCTGGAGGTGTGGGTCACATTACCTGGAGTATGGGCAGGGAAAGTAGTGGAAGTGGTTGGCGGCTATGCATTTTGAAGATGGACTTTACCAGCACTCCCTAATGAACTGAATGTGGGATATGAGAAGAGCAAGTAAGGAGAGCACCAAAAATTTATGACACTGTATTCAGAAAGATAGGAGTTGCATCAGTAGAGAAATGAAGACTGAAAGAAGAGGAATTTGTAAGCACTCAGTAGATGTTAAGATGAGGTGTTAAAACTGCTATACCAACAGCTGATGATCCAAGTGTTTTCAGCAATCCAAAGGACCTGGTGTGCATATACATCTTTCTTAGGAACATTGTTCTAGACAGCAGAGTATTCCAGCATCTGCCCCGGTGTCAGATCAACAGCAGGAAGGACTCAATAGTTCATGGTGATTCTGTTTTCAGTAACGTTGTTTTTAAGGCTGCCCCTTTCACTAAAATCAGCTAAACAGAAGACATAAAATGGAAGAATCATCTAAATGTAGAGAAGTATAAGAAAAATAGCAAAGCTTTAGCCAAAAATATAAATGTGGACAGGAATTCATGGAGAAAAATTGCTCTTATTCTTGAGGCATTTGCCAAATCTTCTGGAAAAATATTAGCTTTTTCTTAGAATCACAAGTCATATTACTGTGTTAGTTTACTGTGAGGGTAACTAAATACCTGAGATAATTCACTAATAAAGAGTTTAGTATGGCTCAATTTAAAAGGGTGAAGTCCATGATTGGCCTTGCCACTTTATATCTGTAGTGAGGCAGCACATCATGTTGGGAGCACTGGGCAGGGCAAAACCATTTGACTCCTCAGCAAGAGGCAAAGGAAAACAAGAAGGTAGAGGGTGTCTGAAATGTGCTTCTAGGACATAGACCTCAATGTCTTAAGGACCTCCCACTAGGCCCCACCTCTTAAGTATTTCACCATCTCCCTTTATCACTATCTAACTTGTAAACTTTGGAAATACTCAATAGTCAGTTATACCCTCAGAGATAGTTTGAATAGGGAGTATAATAGGAGACATTCTAGCTTTCCATTAAATCTAGGGGGAAAAAAAGCCTTTATATCCTCTGAGTAAGAAATGAACGTCTTTTTCTTTTTTCCACCCAAGAGCTCTTAGAAAGCTTACCTTAAGCCAGCAAAAAAGGAAAAACACGAATGTTTCTGAAAATTTGTAATTGCCATGCTGAACTCTGTTAGGTTTGTTACCCTGATTGGCTTTAGACTTTTGGGTCAAATAATTTTAAACTTTGATTTTGCTTTATAAAGTCCTGGGTTGGCATTGACTCAAATTTTGAAGAAGTGAATAAAGATATTTATAGGAATCCATATTTAACCAATGTGCCAAAAATTTACAGTTTGTTACAAAAGTAAATGAGAAGCTAGGAGCAGAAATGTGTAAGTACGAGTAGAAAATGATAACGGGATGAAAAATCAGTAAAAAAACCAGATAGTAAAAGAAGGCTTATAATAGGTCAATATTTGAATTAATAAACAGAATATTACATGTTATAACCAGTTTATATACAAATAAAATTATGACAACCTTCAAATGCCTGTAGAAGTAGGAAACTAATCATATCCTAAGTATTTTTCAAAGACACCACTTTTGGTTATTAGAAAGTAAAATTATAACAATTGTCTTAAAACCAAGCTCACTAACTTTTGCTTTGAGCCATAATGGAGTCAGAAACACAAGAAATTCTTAAAACAATAGAAAGATGTTTGGACATCTTTTGGACAAGTCTAACAAATTGTAATCTCTGATAGAAATGGAATTAAAGAGGCAATCTAGAGAAATCAAATGGAGATAGAAGCAAGGTGCAGAGGCAAAGTGCTGTTCATTTAAGCTGCCAACTTTATTTATATCAATAGGTTTCATTTGTGCACTGGCATCAGTAGTACCTTATTTTTTATTATATCATTAGGCAGGTTATAGTGTCAGCAATATTATGCAGCTTATTTTTCAGTTACATACTAAATTGCAATGTGCAATGTTAGGAGCTTTGTGTAGCTTTCAAGAAAGTCATTGTTTAAAGTTACCATTATATTTACAGGTTCAGGCACAGCAGAGCCTGGTAAAACATTGTGATTGTCTAACAAGAGTGTTTCTTTATTCCCAGGAGCTGAGTGTTTGAGATCAAGGTTGAGGCTGATAAGACTCTAGCATAGAACCTTCTCATTGAGGGCATAACCATAGCAGCTAGGCATCCTGAACCTTTGCACATAAAGTTTCCAGGCACCAAGCATGTATTAGTTAGCTCACTAGTTCCTGAGAGAAACTGCAGAATGTTCCAGCTGTGGAAAAACAAAATGCCTATTATTCCCTAGGAGTTTGCTCACAAGAAAGATGCTGTCTTATATGTTTCCACAGCCAAAACCCTTACAAAGAAAAGCCTACAGTTGCCCATCTTCTTTCCTGGATGCAGTTCCCAGGACCAGTGCAGGAAGGAGGAGCCCTACACAGCCCAGAAGTCGCAGGGAGTTGAGGGGACAGACACAGATGTTTTGGACGGCCACAACAGCAGAATATGTGAGATAAGGCACATAGAGAAGGTAGCTGAAAATATCAGTGCAGGAAGTCTAGAGGTCATCTCTTGTGTCCTCATTTTATCAGTTAAGTACATGTGAGAACACCATCCAAGGACAGGAAAAAGATAGACCAAAAGCACCAGAGGGAACAATGGTAGGCAGGAATACACAGAGCCAGAAAAAGTGTCTGTTCCCATGTCCATCCTGGAAAGCCTCATTGTTGCTGGACATTGGACAGAGTATATAGAAAAGTCTGTGACCCTATCAGTGAATAATATGTGGCATCAGTGGTGGGGCAGGATAATAAGTCTTGGTAATTTTAAGCTGCTTCATTTTGGAGTGATTGTTGCAAACTAGTAAGAAATAAATATACAGGAAACAGCTTTTTAAAAAAGACATTAGGAAATCAAATACAAAAATATGCAAAAAGCAACATATATCCATCTACCCTGGTTTTATCATATCATGGAAAATCAAGGTTTGCCTTTTGTTTTAGTACAAAATCACCCTAGGAGAATTAAGGTGAAAAGCCATAGGTTCACTAAAAGGGACTCATAAAATGCATTTGTTTGAATTCAACATCATTTCAGTGTGAAATCTCAAGGACTCTAGGAATTGAAAGGAACATTCTTGACAAGATTAGGAAGCATTTTTCTCAGTCATGAAAGCTCAACACTTTCTTCTGGGGATTAGAAACAAAGTAAAGATGTTGAATCTCAGCGTTTTATGTGACTTTGTTGGGGAGGGATTACAGGGCAGCAGAACAGCACAAAGACACAAAGGAACCCCTGGTCTGCAGCAATGTTCAAATTCTCCAGGCAAATGCTGGAGGTTTCCTTATAAGAACTCAGTCTTATTTCTTCCTGAGAATAGTTCCTGGCTCTTGGCTCTACAC